AGACCCCTGATTCTATTCTGGTCAAGGGCATATACCTAGGTTGCCGGCTGGATCCCCAGTAGGGGGTGTGCAAAAGGCAGCCAATTTATTATTCTCTCCCATCATTGATATTTCTATCTCTCTATACCTCTCTTTTTCTGTCTGAAATAATTTTTTTTAAAAGAAAGAACTCATAGTTTAGTGTATTTTCATATAAAAGAGAAACCAAGATGGAGACAAAGGTAAACACCTGAATTACTGCCTTGTACAACAATTTCAAAACTACAACTAAAAGACAGAATGAACATCACCCAGAACCACAGGAAAGCTGGCTGAGTGGAAATTCCACAACTAGAAGGAAAGAGGAAAGCACACACAGAATCAGAGGAGCTGCAAAGAGCTGAGATACAGAGACACGCATACAGAGAGGAAGGGTGGCAGAGTGCCTGGCTGGCTTTCTCTGGCGGGAGAGGGAAGGAAGCCCCTGACTGTATGGAACCCCAGTTCTGACTGTACTGAACCCCAGTTCCTGGCAAAACCCATGGACTCAAGCTCATACGGGAGGAGTCTGGACTGTCAGATAGAAAGTTTCACGGAGACTTGGGGAAGCCGCAGCAGGCAGGGGTATGAAGGCTCGTGAGTGTGCACAGAGAAGACTGACTGCTGAGGTTGCCACCAAATCTCCCTAGTGGAAGGGATTCAGAAATTCCTCACTGCACTGAACCTCAGTTCTGACTACACTGAATCCCAGTTCCAGGCGAGCCTGGAGGAATCTGGACTGTCAGGCAGAAACTCAGGGGAGCCCTGGAAGGCAGAGGTATGGAGGCATGTGCACAAGGGCAGGGCTGATGGGAAGCCAAGACTGTGTGCTTAGCCCTGAGACTCTACCCCATCTAAGCAGAGCACAGAGGCTTTTGCAATTTTGCAAGTCTGGTCCTATAAGGCTATCTCCAGAACAGGTCTCCCAGCATAGACACAGCTAATACACATAGCTAACTGGCCTGGAGGTCAATTCATCCGAGTGATACCAACAACAATCAATACTTAACTACAACAAGGCTGTACACACGGACCACAAAGGGGTGCACCAAGAGTATCCAACTCAGGTGACTGGGAAGGCTGGCCCACTGGGCCATATAAGAAACCTAGCACACAGAGCTACTCTACCAACTCAAGGAAGCAGCAAAAATGCAGAGACAAAGTAACAGATCACAAACAAAAGAAATAGAGGAAAATAAATGACTGGATATGGAATTCAAAACTACAGTCATAAGGTTTTTTAAGAATTTCCTAGAAAAGGCAGATAAATTTAGCCAGACCCTTGAGGATATGAAAAAGAACCAACTAGAAATTAAACATACACTGACTGAAATTAAAAAAATATATTATACAGAGACCTAATAGCAGACTTGAGGAATGCAAAAATCAAGTCAAAGATTTGAAATATAAAGAAGCAAAAAACACTCAGCCAGAAAAGCAAAAAGAACAAAGAATCCAAAAATATGAAGATAGTATAAGAAGCCTTTGGGACAACTTCAAGTGTACCAACATCAGAATAATGGGGGTGCCAGAAGAAGAGAGAGAACAAGATACTGAAAACCTATTTGAAGAAATAATGACTGAAAATTTTCCCCACCTGGTGAAAGAAATAGACTTAACAAGTCTAGGAAGTGCACAGAACCCCAAACAAAAGGAATCCAAAGAGGACCACACCAAGACACATCATAATTAAAATGTCAAGAGCAAAAGACAAAGAGAGATTCTTAAAACCAACAAGAGAAAAACAGCTAGTTACCTACAAAAGAGTACCCTTATGACTGTCAGCTGATTTCTCAACAGAAATTATGCAGGCCATATTGGAGTGGCAAGAAATATTCAAAGTGATGAATAGTAAGAGCCTACAACCAAGATTACTCTACCTAGCAAGGTTCACAGATAAGAAAAAACTAAAGTAGTTTATCACCATCAAACCAGTATTATATGACATGCTGAAAGGTATTCTTTAAGAAGAGGAAGAAGAAAAATGTAAAGATAAAAATTATGAACAACAAATACATATCTATCTACAAGTGAACCCAAAAATCAAGTGAATTAAAAATCTGAGGAACAGAATAAATTGGTGAATATAATAGAATCAGGGGCATAGAGAGTGAACTAATAATTCTCAGGGAGAAAGGTATATGGGGGGTGCAGGAAGAAACTGCACAAAAATTGTACACCTATGGATAAGGGCAGAGAGTGGGGTGGGAACCAGGTGGAGGGGCACTATTGTGGGGGGGGGGGAAAGAAACTATTGTAATAATCTGAACAATAAAGATATATTAAGTAAAATAAATATTTCAGCTTGGGGGGGAGGGAAGAAAAAGAAAGAGGCAAAATCACTTTAGTAAGAAAAAAAGGACATGGGACCTCTAAAAAGTATTCTAATAGTCCTTGTCCTTTTTAAAAATAGTAATAGAGCCAAAGCCAGTTTGGCTCAGTGGATAGAGGGTCAGGCTGCAGACTGAAAGGTCGCAGGTTCGATTTTGGACAAGGGCATGTACCTTGGTTGCAGGCACAACCTTGGTGGGGGGTGTGCAGGAGGCAGCTGGTCGATGTTTCTCTCTCATTGGTGTTTCTAGCTTTCTATCCCTCTCCCTTCCTCTCTGTAAAAAATCAATATAATATATATTTTAAAAAATAAATAAAAATAAAAATAGTGATGGACGCTAGCAATGTTTTAACTGGGAGAATGGAAAGAGCCAACTAACAATTCAGCAAGTGAGTCATCCTTACTGTGAAACCAATAACAGCAACAGCAACAGCAATGACAATATTAGCAGTTACCATATTAAAGCACTAATTCTGATCTGGGAACATTGCTAAATGCTTACACAGACTGTGTCATTTAATTCTCTGACTTCTAAGAGATAAATACTTTATCTAATTTTGCAGATTGCATCACTTTTTTGCTTCTGAAGGAATTGAGCAAGTGGAATACATATATAGAAATAAACCAAGTAAAGGCATTTTTAAATTTAATTCTGCATAGAGATTTGAGTAGTTGCTTAGGGCTTATACAACTGAAATACTAGTACACACTAGGTTGAGGTGACCTGTTCCTTTAAATTCAGGTAATTCTAAGTTTGGTATGGCAAAACACAAACTGGCCTCTAAACTCAGGAAGGTCTGATTTTTTTTTTTCCAAGAAGGGAGAGTTTTATATAAACTTGAGTAAAAGAAGAAATGCTCAATTGCATGTTTGCTTAAAAAGACTTTTATTATTTGGTTTATTCAACAAATAGTTATTGAACACCAGCTATGTGTTCTGAGCCCAGAATTTCAAATATATAATATTGAGAGAGCAACTTGTTTCATTTAATCCTTAAACCTAAGGAATTTCTGAAATTACCAAATTCTGATTTAGAGAGCACCTATTGATTAAGTGTTATTTCTCACTCTAATTTCAATAGATATTTAAATACCCATGCAGAGTGACAAGAGCAGTACACTTTATAGATGCTAGATCATGGAATTAAAGAATATTAAAAATTAAGTAACCCATTTTCTATATTATGCAGATCAGAGAGTCAGACAGGCTTAGATTATAAACTCTATAACCTTGGACAGGTTTATTAACCTCTCTGAGTCTTAGATTCATTATCTATAATATGTGAATAATAGCACTTGCCTTATATGAATACAGTAAGGATGACATAAGACCATTTATATAAAATTCTTAATGCAGTGTCTGACACATGCAACATGTTCAATATATGTTTTCTGTTATTGTGATTACTATTTTCCAAGTGAGGGCACTGAAACACAGAGAGTGGAAGTGACTAGCCTAAGGTTACACAGCTTGTTAATGTTAGGACAAACATTAGAACTCAAATCTCTGTTAGTACTCAAATATTCCTTAAACTATACCACCAATTTTAATCCTTAGGAACAGGTAATATAAACTTCCTAGGCCTGTGATAAATATTTTAGCTCATCCAGAGGGAAAAATGACAAGGAAATGGCTGACATAGCAAGAGAATTTCTGGACTCAAAAAACAAAACAACAAGGGATAAATAGAGAACAAATGAGATACAACAATTACCAGAAAGTTTAAGCAGCAGTGTTAAAACATTACTATTCCTGGTGAATCTCAGAACTGATCTCTACTCTCCCAGCCCCCCCCCCCCCATTCTCCCCTTCCTACTCTTTTTTTATTCACCACCAACATTTCTATAAAAATGACTTTTTGCTTCCCCTGGAGATGAGAGGGAGGGGAGGTCTTTCAGGATGCAGAAGTGTTTCACAAAATTTTACCATGAAGTCAGCTTTATTAGACAATTTCTACTTGAAAGCAAAGGAGCCTTGTAATTCAAATTATAATGGATGCATGAATACTACCAAGAGTTAAAAAATGATATGTTTTTAAAAGCATAGTGGAGTGTAACCTCATAGTAGAAGCTGTTGAGAAATATAGCAAAAAGGAAAACAAAAGGTTTAAGAGTAAAGCCATGTTATTGGTTTGTGTAGCTATTAGTTAAGTACAGCACTGAGAATTATTTATTGTTAGATGAAGATATTAAGAATTAGAAATATGTTTTAAAGCTACTCTGTTTATATGATAAAATAAACAATTAACTTACAGTTGGCTAGCAAAAAAAAAAGATATATTTTTTCTTAAACTATACTTAAGTTTAATTAGATAACTCTCATATTGGTTGTTGCAACATCAAAAGAGTATTTAAAATGTTCCAGGATATTTCTAAAAGAAGCAAGGCACTTTGCTGTTTATTACTGTGTAGTACCATGGTACACAGATTGCTGCCAGAAAGTCTGACTGGATTTCCTGGCCCACCAAAAGAAATATGCCATAACTATTTCTGGTGTAATTACTGTATAAAATGGTTGTTACCTTTTTACTTAACCCTTTAATCTTGAGTTTGTTGATATCCTTCTCCTAAAAACAATTGCTTTTATTTCAAAGACAACATATTGATAGCACTTTAATTGCTTATTCAGTTGATAATTTTCACCTTCACAGGGCATCGGGTACTGTCTATACAGCACTTGACATTGCAACAGGACAAGAGGTAAGTTCTAATATGCAATCCTGACTTTTACTTTTCTTTATTCATATTAATCAGATTTCCTCTTTGATGGCATCTATGCCTGAAAAAAATGGATACTACTGGATTAATATTGCAGTTTTCTTTAATGGTGTCTAAAGTATCTGAAGTGGATAGTTTACTCATGATTAACCACAGAAAAGGGGGCTTTGTGGCACCAAGACAAAGCTTCTTAAGATAAAGAATTTGTATACCCCAAAATATGGATTTTTTTTCGCCTAATAATTATAACATTCTTATATTTTAATCATCATTCAGGTAGCCATAAAGCAGATGAACCTTCAACAGCAGCCCAAAAAGGAATTAATTATTAATGAAATTCTGGTCATGAGGGAAAATAAGAACCCCAATATTGTTAATTATTTAGATAGGTAAGTGTGCTCTCTAATTGTTTGTTTGTTTGTTTTGTTTTTTATGGAATGCCATTTTATTGGCAAATTACTTTATATAGGATCTATTTAGCTTCCATTGTATAAATATGTGTCAAATGTTACAAAATGTAGTATCAGATCTATTGATAAACTTGCATCTGTTTATTTTTGTCCACCCATCAAACATTTGGAGACACATTTTATAGTCTTATTTTTAAACATGAGCTGTTTTTGTAATTTCCTTTGGGAATTGTGACTTCTTGTTCGCAGGAAATAGCATACTGCATATAGGACAGGGCTGTGATGCATTAAATTTCATCAAATGTTTGTTTGAAGCTAGTGCAGTCTCTGGGTGTATAAATGAGGAAGCCTGTCTAAGATGGCCCTGATTTAATGTGTGCTTTGTAATTAACTGACAGTGAGGCCAGGGAATTGAAATTTTAATCTCAAACCTTTTTCCTAGACCAGGTAATGAATGTCTCTTTCATCAGTGGTATTAGCAGTGGGTTATAAAAATAATAAATAAATAAATAAATAAATAAATAAATAAGGATTTAAAGACAGCACCAGCTCTTCAATTGTGGTTAACATTTGTCTCCTTCAATTTCAATAAGTGTTTGTTTAGCACCACTGTGCTGTGTACTCTGGGGATACAAAGTAAATAAGACTGTGTCTACAATATCAGGGAGCTTAGGATCTTGCTTTTTGTGTCTTGCACCAGGTGGACCAGTAGTACAGGAGAGGAAAGGGAGACAAAAAAGGAAGGGTCAAATTTTATAGTTGAAGTCAGTGTTTCATAAAGTGTCACAACTGACCTCTATCAGAACTGACACTTCATCACAGTAAATTCATTGCAAACATTAATCTCTTTGATTTAGTGACTACTTGAAAACATTTCAGTAATCAATTCAGTAGAATTAAAAAATAATAATGCCAAGATCTGAATAAATATTCTGTACATCTGTATGCCATGTGGCCAGCTCAGTATAAGAAGTCAACATTGTGATTTAGGTTATCCAAAAGGGCTATCCATTGATCCTGTTCACTGAAACTAGCTTTTACAAGGAATATAGTAGTCAATAACCAGAACCCTCCCTGTTCTTTTCCTTCCTCTGTGGTGCACAGTCATATCTAGTGGTCCTTTGATTTCCATAAATATTCTCTTCCAATGTTAAGGAAGTGTCTCATCACTATCACTGATCTTCTCCTTCTCCTTCTCCTTCTCCTTCTCCTTCTCCTTCTCCTGCTCCTGCTCCTGCTCCTGCTTCTTCTTCTGTTAATCCTCACCTGAGGATATTTTCCCATTGATTTTTAGAGAGAGTGGAAGGGAAATGAAAAGAGAGAGAGAGGGAGAGAAACATCAGTTGCCTCCTGCATCAGGGCCAAGGATGGAGTCTGCAACCGAGGTAGGTATCCTTGACTGGGAATCGAACCCAGGACCTTTTATCCCTCAAGCCAAGGCTCTATCCACTGAGCAAAACGAGCTAGGGCAATATTATCTTCTTGTTATTTAATATAATCAAATGTATAGAAACTGAATGCAAATTATGTTTTTAATAGGGATATGGAAGAATCCCCACTTTCTTAGGCTGAAGTCAATGTCTTTTTTTCCCCTTTTTTTGTTTGTTTTTTTTTTGTTATAGCTACTTAGTAGGTGATGAACTATGGGTAGTCATGGAATATTTGGCTGGTGGCTCTTTGACTGATGTGGTCACAGAGACCTGTATGGATGAAGGACAGATAGCAGCTGTCTGCAGAGAGGTAAGAAAATAGAGCATTTCTAGCTGATGATAACACCAAAATTGGCAGTTCTTTCTTTATCTCTGATTATTCAGAATGTTTATAACATCAAAGTAATAATAGCATATTTTTTTCTACTGAAAAAAAATTGGAGGCCCTAAATTAAGTTTAAATTCTAACATAATAGCACTCCTTTTCCGCAGTCCCTAGTTTGTTTTAGCTGCTATACTATGGATCTTTTCAGTTCCATTATGCCTATCCACAGAGTACATATCTAAGCCTGAATGGTTTTAAGTCCCAGTGAACATAGAAAATAATAATGCTGGCAAGGAACTTCTTTCTTATTTGGAAAAAAATTTACTTAGTAATTATTTTGTCTTGGATGTGCAATGTGTGCACATTGCACATCCAAGACAAAATAACTACTAAGTAAAAGTACAAACCATATTATAATCACATCATTTTTAGAAAATAACTTAACCAAGGTCTTCCCTTAGCCTGGAAAGTAGTTACTTTCACAGTACAAGTTGGGCATCCCTCATAGCCCTCTAATGTGTTTTAAGTGTCTGCCTCTTTTCCAATAACAGTGTCATAATACTTATTTTCAATTTAAACCAAGAATATTTTATTATATTAATTTTCAATATTAAAAAGTCTCTCCATTAGAATTTTATCTTGTACCTTACCATCTACCACATTCAGATATTCTATAGATACATTAGGAACTCTGAACCACTGAAACTTGAAAACCATTGATAGAAAAACAAAAGAAAACCGAGTAATGTCAGCTAGTCTTTGCTTTATTTTAAATTGTTCATATAAATGTTTTTCCTTCTTTGTTCTCCTCTCATACTCATTTCCTCCTCCACAAACATGGAAACATATCCACTAAAAACATATATTTTCTATTTATGCAATGAATCAAACTTTTAATATTTAGGAGTATATTGGGCCCCGAGTCTGTTGTTTCCATTTTCTAGTATTATAGTGCAAAACATATTCCAAACAAGTGTCTATTGTTACTTCATAGTGGACCTCAATTCTGGCTGTCCATCAGAAATAGCTTAGGGCACTTGTTTTAAATGCAGATTCTTGGGTTTCACTCAAGACCTACTGAATCAAATCATACCATGAAAACAGAAGCTTACTACATCTATTTAAGACCAAGGTGAATTCATATCCTCTAGATAACTAAGTCAAAGTTTGATTATATTAATTGGTCAGTTTGGCTGTGTTAATGATTTGGTGCTACTTATCACACCATCACTCTTCATATCCTAGTCTTACACAAGAGCTTTCATATGTATAATGCTAAATTGCATCACTGATGTAAATGGTAATATGATTTCAAAATAGTGTCAAAGCACTTTGTTATCTATTTAACTTGGCGACATAAAATTAGACTCCTGCCCCAAATTTATGTAGATTAAACTTAATTTAAAAAATTATTTGTGATATAATTAACTTTTTTTTTAATTCAATAGTGCCTCCAAGCTTTGGATTTCTTGCACTCAAACCAAGTGATCCATAGAGACATAAAGAGTGACAATATTCTCCTTGGGATGGATGGCTCTGTTAAATTGAGTAGGTATTTTGGTTCTGATGGTATTTGAGAGAGTATCTGGATATTTCTACTCTTTTGCTGTCTATCTTGAGAAGAGAATGGCCATTAAAAATGATTGGTTTGAAAGCATTTTGAGCTCAGTTTGAAGCAAATAATTTTTAACACTGTGTTCCTATAGATTGTGCCCAGATTTTGGGGAGGGTGTAGTAATGTTTCAGAATTTCTAATGACCCCATCAAATGAATGACAGATACTTAATTAAAAGACTGAAATATTCTTATGTTGGAGAAAACCAGATTGAGGTCCAGTGAAAATGGCATCTTATTAGTTATTTCAGACTCAAAATCAGGACTATATGAGAGATCAGGTATAAAGGGATTTGAGCTAGGCAGTTGTGGAAGCTCCGTGTCTAACAAAGGAAACTACAGCCATATCTGAAAGTGTCCTATAGTAATAAATATAATTTGAACTAATTTTAACAGATTTTTCTTCTCTGTAGCTGATTTTGGGTTCTGTGCTCAGATCACCCCTGAGCAAAGTAAACGAAGCACTATGGTGGGAACTCCCTATTGGATGGCACCTGAGGTGGTGACTCGAAAAGCGTATGGTCCAAAAGTTGATATCTGGTCTCTGGGGATTATGGCAATTGAAATGGTGGAAGGTGAACCCCCATACCTTAATGAAAATCCACTCAGGGTAAGTTAAAACTCAGGTACTTCATCTTCTGATAAAGGAAAAGGTCAAATGTCATTTCTTGTCTTCACCAAAATTAACTAGAATGGGCTCTTTCTTGGTATAAGTGATGTAGAAGCTACAAATTACACTTTTCAAAAATTACTATTTGTTATTTTTAGTTTCTCTTAAGATGCTTCAATAGGTTTCTCCAGGACTTTAATACTAGTATTTCTAATTACAGGGGTCCTTAAAATGTTTTAGTATTGCTTTCTACTGTTTAAAGAGTGTCTTTTTAAAGCAAGCTGAGGGAAGTTTTATTGCATGTTGTGGTTAAATGATCTATTTAGGAAACACTTGCTTTATAATTACTTTAACAAAGTAAATAAATGCATTTCCATTCAGCTGTAATTTTTTAAATTAGATTTGTTTCACTATCAGTAATGATTTATTGAGCAACAATAGCTTAATGGTTATTGAATGGAATATAGAATAGACATAGAGCCAGCCTGATGAAATCACAAAAATAATTAGACTGTCAAGTAGAAATGAATGGCAATAGTTTGTGTTGAGTTACTCAGTTTGCTACTGAGGAATTAAAAGTTTGATCCTTACATGGTCTGGTTATGATGCAAAGAGAAAAGTTTCATTTAATAGCCTAATACTACCACCTTTATTAACATATGCTGTTGATCATGGGAGAAAAAGGCAAAGGAATATGAAAGAAATACTTGCAAAGAATAGAAGTCAGCCAGTAGCTGTTTTGTTGTATATAACTTAAGGCTGAGCCAAAAGCTGTGTTGTATATATAAAGGTAATCACACTATTGAAAAAAGAAAATATGCACAGATTCAAATTCTACTCTCAAAATGTTTATAGTGTGAGTTTACTAGATGTACAATCCCAAAGACATCTTGAAAATTGTTTGTATCATTACCACTAAGAGTCTAAAATTTTATTTTACCCTTAGTATACAAAAACCATTGTCCTTAGTATATGATTAAGTGTTTACACATTAAGCTTTTAAAATCCATATTCAAACCAAATATATGTGGCTTACTATACATGTAAAGAAACCTACAAACTAATTGCTTTTGCAGTTGAACATTTTGTAATTGGGAGCTGCATTCCCTATGTATGGGGGAAGGGCAGCATCCTCTTCAACTCTTCCTAATTCCTCTCTGCTACATGTTCTCTTGTCCTAGTCCCTTCACTAATTAATTAGAAAACAACAGATAGGAATGCTATGGACTATTGCTCTGAACTCATGAAAAAAATCTGGAAGTGAGATGTGCACATTGATTAGTTACCTGCAGGGCTGAGCGGAAAAGAAGGGGCATTTTCCCACCCTTTGTAGGTCAGCTCTCTATGAATTTAATCAAGCCCACCCCTGACCTGTGGACTAGCACATTAGGATAAGTACTTGAACTTGTCCTTATTGTTTAACCTCCTTTGCTCATTAAGACATAGCAGCGGGGGAAAAAAACCACATAAGGCCCATTTATTTTCATGGATTTCCTTCTCTAAATCTTTGGAATTTGGAAGCACTAAACAGGATTATGGCTATTTTGCTTTCTGCCTTCTAATGAGTAATTTACAATCTGCAAAATTTAATGATTTAATAAATGACTTTGCAAAGCGACTGGTTTCAGTAATGTATTTATTACCTTCTTCAGTTTCCCAAATATAATTGATCTTTCTGTTGCTAGGCCATTAACTGTTAGAGAAAAAAAAAGAAACATGTTTTAATCTTTATAGGCATCTTCTAGCCTGGGATTATAATGCATAATTAACAGTTTATCTCTTAGAATCCACAGCCTTGTATCTAAACAAGTACTTGCAGATTAATAAAACACCAGGTTCAGGAAGCCTACATTAAGACTATATAACAAAAATGCCTGTCAGAAAGACCACCTTTTTGAAGTCCACTGATAAGATGTACTATAACTTTGTTCATTACTCTCCATGTGTGATCAATCTCCAATATAATATTCATCAAATCCATATCTCTCTGCTAGGCATCACAACTACATTTTTAGTTTTTATTTTAAATATGTTGTCTTTGTATTCTCTCATGGAAATCACAATGTAGCAAGCTATAAGCCCTTATTTTGGATTTTAAAAATGTAGTCACTAAAACTATGGAGAGATTGGAGAAGGAAAAATAACATGAGCCTGTAGGAAGCCAATGTTTTCTTGGATGCTGATCACCAGGCCATGTGTGTGGAAATAGAAAATTACACAGATTCAAGAGAAATATAAAGGAGGATGAGGTTAGTGCTTCTTTCTTTAAAATTATTTCAGTACTACTACCCATCCACCACTATAGGCTTTGAGGAGGAAAAAGGAAAGAAATGGGAAGAAGACAGAGTGGTAGAGTGTAGCACATTGATATGAAAAAAAAATTGGCCCATATAGTCAAGCAAATATGGGTATGTCCTGGCTCCATAGCATATAAGCTCTGTAACCTTCAGCAAGTTATGTAAAACCTTTAAACGCCAACTTCCTGTGTAAAATGGGGACAAAATCTATCTTGCAGAATTAGTATGAAAGCTAAATAAAATGATGGATGTTAATCACCTAGCACAGTATCTAGCTCATTGTAGGAAATATATTAGAGAGAGACATTTAATATATATATATAAATAAAAATGTGAGAAAGGAAAAGGAGAAAGGGGATCTTTAGAGGGCTTTTTACTCATCCATGATGGGAGATAGGATTCCCCACTTCCTCAAACCTTCCCTTCCACACTGGTTATATACTCATACGCTCAAGGAGTGGGGGTTATATGATAATATAACCGTTCAGTTATATTATCATGAACAGGTAACACTGAACAGGAGACGTTAAAGGTGAAAACTAAGGCTATATATTTGAAGTATTTTCAAATTTCATTGTGGTGTGTGTGTGTGTGTGTGTGTGTGTGTGTGTGTGTGTCTTTGTTGTGTCAGTTACAACTGAGCACCCAGTCTATGAATTTTGCCTGTTAACACATCACAAGGGCAAGGAATTAGATACTACCCACCCCCTCCCAGTTATAAAGTACTGGAATTTTACTTTGTAAATTGGGAGCTGCATTCCCTGTGTGTGGAATTTTTTCCCTATGTATGCAGGAGAGTACAACTGGAATTTTTTTAAGTGTAAATTGTTTTGTACTAATTGAGTGTACTGCTGTTATGAGGTTGGTACCCTTCCAGAGACAAAGAGAAGACAAGCTTCTTTCTTCCTCCACTGCCTGAAGTCTTTGTACTCAACATAATTGACCTTGGACATGTTGTTATGTGACCCATGGACATTTTTAGTGTAGTCTCCAATAATGATGTGTCTTGTTCTTTCTGTTTACCAAAGTGACTGATGTTAAAATCAAACTTTCCCTCAATATGCAAATCAAATATTGGTGTTCTGCTCATCAACCTGACTTGTTTGTATTAATTTTTAAAACTTGTGATTATAATGACCTGATTCTAAATAAGGAGGCAAAATTATTTTCATAATACAAATCTTTTTTTTAATCTCAGTACCAAAAGAGTGCCTCTCTATTAACTTTGCTTTCACACATTCATTTTCAATGAATTCTGATGGAATTTGGTATTTGTGAAATGTCTCAGTGACATTGAGTTGAAGGCCTTACTGGACCCTGTGGATGGAGCTCATTTTATGTGTAATCTCCAAACCATTATCCAAATTGAGATGAAATTTAAGTGTTCTCATTCTACCCTTGTTTTAACCATCTTTGAAATGGAATCAAACATTGGATCTTGGGAAGAGAGTTATTGGAATCAATAAGAGGCATCTGAGTGCTAAAAACAGTATGCAAACCACTTTTCTATACTAATAAAAGCCTAGGTGGCACTCAGGCAACACCCTTACATCTCACAGGATGGCTACCATAAGATGGCTGCTGGCAAGGGAGGGAAGTTAGGGGCATCCAGGCCAGCAGGGGAGGGCAGGTGGGGGAGACCAGGCTGGCAAGGGAGGACAGTTGGGGGTGACCAGGCCGGCAGGGGCGGGCAGTTGGGGGCAACCAGGCTGGCAGGGGAGGGCAAGTGATGTCCATCAGGCCAGCAGGGGAGGGCAGTTGAGGGCCATCAGGTCAGCAGAGGAGGGCAATTGGGGTGATCGGGCAGGTGAGCAGTTAGGCATCAATCAGGCCAGCAGAAGAGTAATTAGGGAGTAATCAGGCTGGCAGGCAGAGGCAGTTAGGGGCAATTAGATAGGCAGGTGAGCAGTTAGGAGCCAGCAGTCCCAGATTGTAAGAGGGATGTCTGAGGGGTCCCAGATTGGAGAGGGTACTGACTGGGCTGAGAGACACCCCACACACACACACACACAAATTTCATTAATTGGGCTGCTAGTCCTATAATAATGGTTCTCCAACTAGACTGCATATTGGAATCACCTGTGGAGCTTTCAAAGAAACAATGATGTCAGGTTTCAAGGACTGAACCAAATAAATGCAAAGTTCTGTGGCAAGCCTTTTATAGAACCCTGTCTAGATTGAAAAACAATTCATTAGCCCTCTCTTAAGCATGGTTATTCAATCAGAAAGGAGCACATTATCATTATGTCCACATTTCCTCATTTCATCTACAAAATTGTCATGAGTAAGGCTTCCAAAGCCTTGTTGAAATCCTAATGCACTCTATGTATATGGCATTATCTGATTTATCAGCCCAATAACACTATCGAAAAATAAATGACATTTTTAGAACAGTATATACCTCCATGATATGCTATTTTCTTTTAAAATTTTGTATCTCTTGAAAATGAAGTTCATCATTAAAATGTACTAATTTCTGAGTACATTGCACATATTGATGATAATAAAACTATCAGTCTGACTACTTATGATTAGTGCATTATTTCTATGGCTAAAGAGAAGGAAGGGAAGAAATTTAAATTCAGATCTGTTGTCTGCACTAGTAAATGTGTTATTTTCCCCCACATTTAAAGCACTATATAAATGCTATTCTTATTTTTTTTTATATAAACAGGAAAAGTCTGGTTATCTTGTATTTCTGGA